CAACCTACTAGCAATGGCCTCCAACCCAATAGCGATGGCCTCCAACCCAATATAGCGATGGCCTCCAACCTAATCCTCCAACCCAATAGGAAACCAGTGATGGCCTCCAACCTAATAGCGATGGCCTCCAACATGGCCGGGCTATCAAAAAGAAAATTTTCTATATCCTGTCAAAAGAAAATTAATTAGTGTCAAAAACAACATTTCCTTTCACAAAGAGCTGCGCCTGCCACTGCGAACCGGGCAGCGCTGCGCGATGTGAATCTGGATGTGCAGATTTCGTGGCAAATGCAGCACTTTGAGCGCCTTCAGTAGCAGATTTCGTGGCAGGAGTGGTGCTTGGCGCACTGGAACTGCAGATTTCGTGGCAAACGCAGCACTTTGAGCACCTTCCGTTGCAGGGCTCGTGGCAGGCGCAGCACTTTGTGCAGCACTTGAACCTCGAAGTGCAGATTGCGTGGCAGGCGCGGTTGCTCACAAACCAAAGGCTTGCTACGTTGGAATGGCTCCTTCTTCTTCTTCGTCTTCTTCTTCTAAATTTTACCCTCAAGTGGCTGACAAAACCGTCAGGGTGGCTGACAAAAAAGGTCTGCTACGTCTGGTGATAACTGTCTGCTACAGTGCTTCACAGGATGCATGACCAGATTTCCAACTCACCTTGAACGCGTCTTGCCTCGAAAGTCAGACCCAAGACCCGAAGACCAGGACGAAGGACCAGAGGCTGAGAGGACTAAGGGACCAAAGGACCAAGGAACCAGAGGACCAAGGGATCAGGACCAAGGGACCAGGACAAAGGGAGCAAAGGACCAAGCGATCAGAGAACCAGCAGGCCAGGACAAAAGGAGTAGAGGGAATTTTCTGTTTGATACGAATTAGTGTTTCTTTGATAGGAAACAACTGTTTTATTGATCGGAAACAATGATTTTTTTGATAGGTATCCCCTCCAACCTAATAGGAATGGCCTCCAACCTAATAGCGATGGCCTCCAACCTGAAAAATATATGTAAATAGCATGGGAGTGGTGTTTGGACAGGTTTCTGGGCAATGAACATGGCGAGGAAGTTGTTTTCGGTGGAAAATGACAGAGCCGACTTGGGAACAAAGAGCGATGTGCGAAAATCGTAGATTTCGACCAAAGGAACTCGTCTGCGGTAAATTCGATCCAATCTTTGCCAAGGTTGAGAGGACACACATGCGAAGGAAGGATAAACGCAGCATTTCTTCCAGCCCTAAAGCTCTCAAAAGCACGCGAGATGGAAAAGAAGTTTACCAAAAAACATACAGCATAAAACAACTCTCATGGTTTCCCTCCTGAAGCGATGCTGCCGCGAAGGCCCCAGCCTGAAAAGGATAACAAACGCAAGAGTAAAATACAAAAAAAGCTTTAAAAAAAGAAAAAACACATCAAGAAAAATACAAACACACAAACATGACAAGTAAGCAAGTAAGAACCCAAGTAAAAATGAATTAATCACAAAATAGACAACAAGTGCGTATACTTACCAGGATGCCCAATGCAAAGCTTTTTTGAATCAACAACATTAAACATTGAACGTCAATTCAAGTGAAATTACTTTTGTTGAACAAAACACCGTTGAGCTATACCGCAAGTGTAGTTTTCTTCTTTTTACTTCAATGTTTGTTCTCTCCCATCTGGCTCTTAATCCAAAACGGGTTCAAACCAAATTCAAGCACAACAAACAGTCCTCCCTCTACACTCTCTGATTGTTTTTGCGTACTCTGCGCGTCTTTCACTTAAAGACGAAGATCGCATGGCCAACGGTGCTCATGGCGCACCTGTCGACATTCACCTGAGTGAAGAACGTTCTGCGCAAGTAGATGGCCTGAAGGGAAGGAGTTGAACGAACAAATAACGAATAGGGCCTAGGGAATGAGAAAGAAATGAAGGAGCCCCGAGTAGCGTGCTTGTTCCTAGAAGCGATGCCGGGAGCCCCTAGAAGCGTCCTTGTTCCTAGTAGCGATGCGAGGAGCCCCTAGTAGCGTCCTTGTTTCTAGCAGGCCTAGGGAATGAGAAAGACATGAAACTGCAACTTATGTTGTTGCCTAAGTGGCAATTGCTGCGGCTAATGGGTGTTTACAACTCATGGCAATGTCAAGAATTCCTTGCGCCTTCATTTGGGTCATCCATGCGGCTTGCACGTCAGTCACCAGCACCTGTTTCTCAATGTCAAACCCAAAGCAAGTAAATTAATGTTTTTTGGCCCGTGGCCCTGCCTCCTTACTTTATTCAGTAGGCGCCTACTTAAGTGAGTAAGGGCGGCTAGCTAGCTCCTAGCTGGGACGCAGGATAGTTCACGCTTCTTCAAGGAAGCTTCCCCGACCGCCCCAAAATTGGTGAGAAGAGCGCTCGCACTAATGACTTCACTCCTAGAATTTGAGGGGAACGGGCCTTAAAGTAAGGATCAGACCCCTTTTTACTTTATCTCTTCATTGAGTTTTGTTTGTTTCTACTTTTCACACGAACTGTTGTGGTGCAATGATGGCTTGAGCATGCACCAAGGGAAGATGCTGAGCAAATTGCCAATCGTCGCGCCTTATGGAGCTGACTTTTTCTTGTGATTTCTAGGGTGTTGAATGCGAAATCAGGCCGCTCGCCAACAACTTAGTGCATACATGATATCGCAGAATGAGGGCATGACAACAAAACTCCTCTCGACCTCTTCCAGGCAATTTGCGTCCACCGGCTTCCGGCAGAATCGCAGCAATAAAGTGGGGGTCACCATACAACACTCGCGGCGCGAACTTTGACGGCCGTATCCTCCGGGCACCAAAGGGCAATCGAGCCGCTCCCACACATGCTGAAGAAAAGGCGTAAACATGTCCGCGCTCATGAGGGCGCGCCTTTTGGCGCTCAAGGGCCTTTCGGCAAAAATAGTCTTAGATCCGGGCGACACACTCTTAGGAACCTATTATTTGCAAGGCAAGTGGTCAACTCCATGCCATTCCAGGTGGCCACGCCCATTGCGACGTTAAAACTCACTCGGCGAGCACCAGCGCCTAACACAATCGCAGCTACTCCTGAAATGGGTGTGTTCCTTCTTGCGTTTTGACGCAGTCTCTTGACGCACCAGAATAGGAGACGCACTGACTAACTAGGCGAGACACGCGAGGGAAAGGAAACGCACGAATTGAAAACCATTTGCACTGAAACCTAGGAGCAAGGACGCTACTAGGGGCTCCTGGCATTGCTACTAGGGACAAGGACGCTGTGTGAAAAAACAAAGAAATTCTGCAAGGCGGTCTATCTCCACGAGGCAAAAGTTTCTAAAGTCTTCCGAAGCCCTCAAGTCTTAAGACTCCCAACGCACATCTGCCGATGGAGAACCTTTCTTTCTTTCTGTGAAGCCGAAGGCAGTGCCTATGACTGTTCGCATGCGCGAATTAACGCCGCTCCACAGCGTCCGGTCTGAAGTCCGGCCCCATGGGAGCCTCTTCATCAAAGGACGCTGTCAAATTCCTGATTGCCTCCTGAAACCAAGAGGGGAGCTCAGTAGCTTCCTCAGCTGGCGGGTTGGCCTTATCAAAAAGATCAGCCAGCGCCCTGCAAAAGTCAGCCGGGCCAACATAGGCCCAACATAGGCCTAACATAGGCCAACATAGGCTCAACATAGGCTCAACATGGGCTCCAGACGTGCCCAACAAGGTTATATATACGGGCGCGCCCCCTGCCGCCGACCCTCGGTCCCAAAACGGGCGGACCACCGGGTCACTGAAGCCCCTGTAATTTACAGTGTATCGTGTGTGTGAGGTATAAAAAACACTGTGTTTTACAGGGTTTATTGCGCATATCGAAGTACGACGCGGGGAAAAGGGAGAAATGCAAAAATGCTGCCATGGATTTTCGCAAGTGTGGGGGCGTGGAGACGGTTGCGAGCATCGTCAGTGGGGGCAGCGTTGTGAAGCCTGGCAAGAAGGATGGCACGAACACCCTCGACCAGTTCATGCAATGGGTCTTGGATGGAGGGGACGTGGAGGTGGAAGTGGGCGTGGTGCCAGCCCGCGACTCCGTGCGAGGGGCACGGCATGAGGCCCTCGGGGTAGCGCGGCTGGCATGTGGCGTGCCGGAGTTGAGCAAGAGCATCTTGGAGATAGTCCCTGGTGCCTATGGAGAGGCCAAAAAGGCCTTGCACTTTCTATGGCAGCAAGTGTGCGCAGAGAGGTGCTACAGGTGAGAGAGAACACTTTTGAGTTGCGGCCAGTGGTTTGTGTAGCAACCTTTGTGGCTTTTTTATCGGCTTGGACGTGAGATAGGTAGAGGCCTGCGTCTGAAGACACTGCCGCAGTTGCGCCATCTCTCACTCTCTCTCTGTTTCTTTTCCTGTCGTCAGAAGTACCCCAGCGTCGACTATGTTTGAAAATCTGACGACCAGGTTGGGTCACCTGTCTCTGTCGTCTCTTTCTCCGTCTCGCCCTCTGTCGGTCTCTGTCTCCGTCTCTGTCTTTGTTTCTGTCTCTGTCTCTGTCTTTTGTCTCGGTCCCTCTCTCTCTATCTCTCTCAGTCTGTCTCTGTCTTCTCTGTCTCTGGCTCTGTCAGTTGGCCTTGGTGGGCCCTATATGGGGCAGAGTGAAAGCTGTTTGGACATCTTCGCCCTAGGTTGGGCCAAGTGGGGCCCAGGTGGTGTATCTTGGACACATCTTGGGCCCAGGTTGAGCCTATGTTGGGCCTACGTTGGCCTATGTTAAGCCTATGTTCCTAGGTTGGGCCTATGTTGGCCCCATGTTGGCCTATGTTGGCTCTATGTTGAGCCATCTTGGAGGCTTTCTTGGGCCTATTTTGGGGAGATGTGAGGCAATTTAGGTGGAAAAAATCTTCCGATACAACTTTTTACGATTTTTCCTTCCCGCAAAGCAAAAACACTGTAAAAACCTACGTTTTTTGACATCGCCAAGCTGAAATTCTCGGCTGCCGAGGGGCCCAAAACCCTGTAAAACACAGTGTTTTTTATACCCCACACACGCGATACACGGTAAATTACAGGGGCTTCAGTGACCCGGTGGTCCGCCCGTTTTGGGAACGAGGGTCGGCGGCAGGGGGCGCGCCCGTATATAACCTTCGGTTACCACCGAAGGCCCTCCGGGCATGCCACAGGCGTCCTGGCGATTTAAAGGCTTACGCCTAACAGCCGGGCGCCGGCCCACTTGGGTCTGTGTAGGGCTGGGTCGGGTGCACGTTAAGCTGTCGGGGGCATACTGGGTCCTGGTGGTGCCGGAAATTGGTCCGCGTCGGAGACGGGGGCCCTATATTGAGCAAAGTTAAGCTATCTGGTGCGCATCTTGGCCTATGTTGGGCCAAGTGGGGCCCATGTGGTCTATGTTGGGCACATCTGGAGCCCATGTTGAGCCTATGTTGAGGATATGTTAGGCAACGTAAGTTGTCTGGAGGGCCTCTACCCACAAAATGTCGATTAAGCCTGTCCGCCCGGCGCGCATTACCGACACCACCCTTGAAAAACACAGCCTCTCCCAACTTTTGCCCGGGCAACCAACCGTAGCCCGTCGAATCCACCAACACCACCGTGAGCGACGCTCTCGGTATGTCGGCTGCGCGCACCGCGGCGCCGCCGGTCTCCATGGCTTCGGCCGACGTCACCGTCAGCGATGCGCTCGGTGCATCGCGTGCACTCTCGGTCTCCAAGGCTGAGACCCACAGGAGAAAAAAAAAAGGTCGAGTGTGCTTGGTTGCTCTTGCTCTCCTACGCTAGCGGTCTCCTAGCTGACTCTCAGAGTTTGACGTTGGTTGCTTCTGGTGTCTTGGCGTTTGGGGCTTTGTTGCTCTGCCTTGGCACGTGCTCCTGCCCTGCTCACACGCCCCCCTGCTGAAACCGAACACAAAATGCAAAAAAAGGTCTGGTGTGCTTGGTTGCTGTTGCTCTCTAACCCTAGCTGTCTCCTAGCTTCTCTTGCGCTCTACTCTTTGCCGTCCTCTCACTCTGGGAGTTCAGCGCTAGTTGCTTCTGGTGTCTTTGGGTTGGAGGCTGTTGCTGGCTTGCACATGCTCTTGCTCTGTTCACAGGCCCGCCTGTTGTTGAGCCCACGTCTCGCCAGTCTCTCTATCTGTCCCCTTTCCAGTGTCGACTGTTTGTCCCCTTTCCGGTGTCGACTGTTTCTTCCTAACTACTCTCTGTGGCATGCTGTCTAAGTCCTTTGCCACCCTGCGTCTCCAACTTGCGGCGTCGACGCCTCGACCCCCAACCTCTCCACCCCCGCCGGCCTCGCTGGCGCATCAGCTTGCAGACAATGTCCTTGAGGGTGGAATGACGTCTGCCTCTCCTCACCAGGGCTGTGGCTGGCTGGCATGAGCGACACTCTTGTTGCCAGCTGACAGCTGCCGCCTCCCAGCATGCATCGCGCTCCCGACTTTTGGTTGCTGCAAGCAACCAGGGCAGTCAGCCCCCGTCCCTCGGACGGGTGCTGCCGGGGTGCCCCAAACCCCGGCCCCCGTCTTCTCCGTGGAAGACTCCGTGAAACCGTGGCGGGTCCCTTACCGACACCACACCCCGCCAACACCGCGAGCGACCCCTACCGTCAGCTCGACCCACACCTCTCTTTCCCAAGTACGCCGGCGCCCGGCTGTCAGGCGTAAGCCTTTAAATTACATGTAAACATCTAGGAGCCACCTGAATAGCATGAGCTTTCCTGCGTCCTAGCCAGTAGCGTCCTAGCTTACCTCTTCTAGCAGCCTTACCCCCCAAAAAAGAACAATGAAATGTAATTTCCGAGAATGTAATTTCTCCTTCTGAGCTCGGCGCAAAATGAATATCACTTTCTTTTTTCTGCTTGTTGTAATTGTCAATGATGACGCCTAGGCGAACAGCAACTGCCTCTATTGCTAGAGGCCTTGTTTTGTCTTCCAAAAAGACAAATGGGTTTTGTCAAGTTGTGCCTTCTCTATTTTGCATTTTCTGGTGTGTTACTTTTCTAAGTGTCAAGGATGATGCCCAGGCCACTGGCGAAACACAGAACAACATTTGCGATTAGTCTACTAGCGTCTTCCTAAGATGGCCACCAACACAAAGGTTCAGGACAAAGAAGCTGCCTTGAACACAAAAGCAAAAACTCAAAACCAAGACTTGACTGTCTGTCTTTTCTGTTTGTCTTTGAGCCTATCAACATGAAGGCTACGAAGAGCATTGAGCCTAGAAAAACTGTATTGAGCAAAGCGGAGCAGAAACGAAGCAACGCTGAGTTGTCAGAGTTCAATGTGTGCATGTTCAGGAAAAAAACAAAAAAAACATTAAACAAATGCTACTTTAGACTGAAGTCTTCTTCCAGCTTCTCTTGCTGACAAAGACGGCCTACTATCCCCCTCGAAAGAGAAGTGCAGCTTGAATCTAAACGATGCTAAACAAAGCTCAGGAAATCTCGTCAAACAACTAAGCAAAACACCGATAAATTCATTGGCGTCTCTCCTTTCAACAGAACTGTCGCCACATGTTGTTCTGTGCACTGACCTTTGGCTTCTCGTTTCTTTCTCGACGTTTTTCGTGTCCTTTCTTGACACAAAAACAACTACTGTATACAGTGGGTGACGGTGTCTTACTAGTAGTAACAAGAAGCTAGTAGAAACAAGTGCCACGCTAGCAGTGACAGGTGCCTCACTAGTAGTAACAAGAAGCCACTGGGTCGAACACGAATTAATTACATTGTTTCTGTCCGTCCTTGGTTGAAGATATGGTCCTCGACTGTCAACAGCGGCAAGCATCACATCCACCCATCCTGTTCGGCAAGGCACCCAGTTCGGAGTGTTGAACAAAGGAACGAACCTTTAGGAGTACCTTAGGAGTACATGGGAGTGCTGGTGGTAGCAGCAGCCCCAATAGCCGTGGCGGTCGTGGTAGTAGAAGTATATAGTTATCCTGGTAGCAGTAGAAGAGCAGAAACAACTAGTAGCGGTAGTGCCCACAAGTAGTGGCAAAGTGTACATTTCTGCCTTTGCCATTGATTTGCGCAAGAGCCAAAGCACCTTCCGTAGTGCTGATCTCAAAGAGGGCAATGGTCCCCTAGGCATTCTGAGGGTCCACATTCCACAAGTAAAACTCGAAACCATTACAATGCAAAATGATCAGCTTTCGCAGCAAACTTTTTGCTAAGGTAGCTCAGGCTCAGGCTACCAGAAGGTTATCGAAGTTTTGATTTAGATTCACCCATTTCCCACCTTGTTCCGTGCACAAGGCGGCGTCCTGGAACCCCGAAGAAAGGCAAAGACCTGTCACTCTTGAGAGACAAAGCCAAACTGCGCCTCGATCAAGCCCCAGCAGCTGGATTCGCAAATACAAGCGGCCACGCACTGCTCCAAACCTGCAGCGTTGCAAACTCAGCAGAAAGCAGGTGTCTTGGAACGTGTAGGGTCGTTATTCCTTCGTTTCTGCATTTTTTTTGTTTTCGAGTTCATGTAAGCTCCGTGCACTCTGCTCCACCCCCCTGCACGGGACAATGCGGGGAAGCACCGCTTCGCACGGCTTCGTCACTTCAACCAGGACCTTTTACACGTCGCTTCTTACTCCAACACGAGTTATATTTACACTGTGTTTTGATGCTTTCTTCGGTATAAAACCAAATGGCCTCCAACCTAGTAGCAAAGGCCTCCTTTTCCTATGCGTTCTTCGTATTAGATAGTAAAAAAAATATTAGTAGTAAGGCATAGGAAGCTACTAGTAACAAGTGCCACGCTAGTAGTAACAAGTGCCTTACTAGTAGTAACAAGAAGCTATTAGAAACAAGTGCCTTACTAGTAACAATAAGAATTTAGACCACACAGGAATCTTGCGGTCGGTCAATCCGCGCCTCAAGACCCGTAGTGTTGTACCGGGTGTTTGAGGTAGAATGACAATAGGGCTGAAAACAAGTATGAGGCCATGGCCATCGCTCTTTGGTTGGAGGCCATCTTATTTACAGCGCTTTTGGACATCACACCCTGCACATCCGCTATTTTCAGCTGTTGGGGCCCATGCGGTGTTCCTGTCATTCGCTCTCTCCCTCCTGTCTTTCCTTGCTTTTCTTGTTCCTAGTAGCGATGCCAGGAGCCCCTAGTAGCTTCTTGTTCCTAGTAGAGTGTGTTAAAGTGGTGTTTATTTTTGGGCACACCTTTCTTAGTTCTTTTTTGAACCCTTATTGTATGAATGCGTTCATCCGCGTCGCCAGCAACAGCAAACAAAGCAACCAGGATACAGAAAAAAACAAAAAACTAAAAGCAAAATAACAAAACAAGAAAGGCCACAGAGAAAAAACAAAACTAATGCACAAACAGCTACAAAAGCAAAAGGAACAAAAGCCAAACACCACCAATAATCAAATGCCGCAGACGAGTTTCAACCAAATAAGCACTCAAAGGCTAACGCCACAAGAAGCCAAAGGCTACAGAAGCCAAAGAAGCCACACCACAAGCAACCAAACAAGCTATCGGCACAAAACCATTCTGCTAAAATACACTCTCTCCAAATTCAGCAAAAGCAAAATCAACTAAGAGAAGAATGAGTACAAAAAAACAACACAAGCAACAGCGACAAAAGCAAAACAATGCAAACGCAGCACATGCAACACAAATGTATACAGGACAGCGACAAAAGCAACAAACACAAAAAAAAAAACAAAGCTGCACAAAAAGCACAAAAAGACAAAGCAGCTCACCACGTGCAAAGCTGGCTCGTAGATCTTAAAGGCCAAGGCGGCCAAGATCCAAGGCGTTTGACTTCGCATTTCTTGGCCAAGGCTGTTTCGTGCCGTCTTTTCGGGCCTTTCTCAGTGAATGAAAAGGCCTTCGTGTTGTTTTCTTGTAGGGGAGATAACTTGAGATAAAGGAAAAAAGAGAAGATAGGCAGTGAAAACTAAGGCTTGGCGTCGGCGTACTGAGTCGTGCAAAAACAGAAAAGGAGGCCAAGCCTACTGTCTCTAGCTGTCTCTTAAAAAGACATGAACAACAAAAGCAGGCCTTGCAGAAGTACTCATGTCTCGCGCACCGCTGCTGGCAAGAATCTCGGCGGCTGAGGTCCTTTGGCGAACAAGCTCTTGCCAACGCGTGCAGTGAGTAAAGTAAAATTGAAAATGAACAAATATATTAACAAGAATCATACAACAAATAAACAATAAATAATAAAGTTGTCATATAGCAAATAAAGTGACAGGACAATTACAAAAATAAACAGAACACCAAGGTCCACATGTGCCGCAGGGGTCAAACAATCCTCAAACCTCTGTATTTATGTCCGACTTCTGCCTACTAATGACACTTAAAGTCTTGCCTACCGGTAATAGAAAACAACAATTCCAAACTAAAAGCAAAATAACTTTTCTATTTGCGTGTCTTGTATTCCTTTCTGTCTAAGTGTGTTCTTTCTGTTCATTGATATTGTTTCTTTAGACCCTTCTTTCTCTCTGTTATATATATAAATAAATATAAGTATATATAGTGTTTTATTTTCTGTCCTTTCTTTCGCTTTTTGTCGGTTCTTACTGGTAACTTTAGACCTAAAAGGAGTCGTTTGAAAACCCAAGTTAGATACTAGTTTCTATTGTTTCTACTAGCAAACATTGTTACTAGTAGCGATGTTAGCCCCTAGTAAGGTCCTTGCTCCTAGTAGTAAGGCCAGGAGCCCCGAACGTAGTTTCTTTGAGTTCTCGTTTCGTCTCTTTTTTCACTTCTCCGTCCTAGGAACAAGTGCATCGCTACTAGTAACAAGTGCCTTACCAGTAGTAACAAGAAGCTATTAATGTTAACTTAATCTTAAATTTAATTCTATTCTAATAGCTTTTTGTTACTACTAGTAAGGCACCTGTTACTACTAGCGAGGCACTTGTTACTAGTAGTGAGGCACTTGTTTCTTGTCATTTCAGTCCTGGGAGCTTTCGGGGCAATTGGCCTCGCTGCAATCACTGCAGCGCATCACGTGGTATCCCCACGGTGAAGTCTGGCCTGAAGCAGACCAAACGACGCAAGGCAAGCCTAGTAGCGGAAGGAACAAAAAAAACAAATAGAAAAAGTGAAGAAAGTGAAAACATATAGACATGTTTAAGCATGTTTTCCTCTAAGTCTATATTCCATTTTTAATGTTAACCTTTGCTCAGCAGAAGCCTGCTCTGTGCTCTGCTGGTGCTGCTCTTGGTCTCTGACAAGCTGGGTGGCTAGAGCTGTCGCAATGCACCTCCATGATCCATGCTGTAGCAAGTTGCAGCAAACACATGCAATACAACCTACTAGCGTCTTTGCTACTAGTAGCGTCCTTGCTCCTAGTAGTACGGCCAGGAGCCCCTAGTAGCGTCCTTGCAATACAACCTAATAACGATGGCCTCCAACCTGCTAGCGATGGCCTCCAACCTAGCGATGGCCTACTAGCAATAATAGCGATGGCGATGGCCTCCAACCTAATAGCGATGGCCTCCAACCATGTTCCCAATAACAACAAATTGTGTTTTTTCAATCTGTGCGTGCTCCAACAACGTTGCAGCTTCCCAACACATCTTGGAAACACAAACATATCTGTATCGGTGTCATCAACCAATAGAGGTATTCAACCAGATCTGTCTTGAGCTTGCTGACGATGTTTAATCCTTTACAAAAGACTTAAAGAAGAAGGCTCCCTCCAAAGTACTAGATTCAATGACTCGGCACATTCGGTGCCCCGAATTTGCACAGCGACTCTGATTGATGGCCTCACAAATCGGTGTGTCCTTGGTGCGCCTCTGCCACTCCCTCCCGGAGGAACCTTGAATCTGACCGAAAGCAAGTGCTGCTTCAACACATCCAAATGTCCCTCTTAGACTTTTTCTCCTTGGATTCGACTGGTTTGACCATTTCTTTAAAGTGCCCTCTTTGTGTCCATTGCTGAGGGTTGCACAAGTTCCAGGACTTTGCCTCTGTAAAGCACTGTCGTGGCACGTTTCCAGCCAAACTGCTAGCGTGTACACAAATTGGTAAGAGATCATGTCTTTAAATTGCGAGAATACCCACACTGTACACAAGCTTACCAAGGCTGGAGCGACATGATACCCCAAGACCTCAAAATGCTCTGAAGACATGACAACACTTTTGACTTTGCAGGGAATCTCCAAGGAAATTCACCACAAACAAGGTCATGAACAGTCTGTCCAAAATCAACTGGGGCATCAAGCACATTGGAGCTGCTGTCTACAACCTTGCAAAATGGGCATCTGGCAGATGGCCTTCGGTTTCCTGGAGTTTCCTTTGACCGAGTGCTTTCTGGGCGGGTCACGGTGTCGGCAATGCACATCAGAGTCGTTTCTGGTGATCCTCAGGCACTGAGAGAAAGCAAATGAAAAATAAAGGAAGATGTGAAGCGTGAAAAATATCATGCATGTGTTTTCAAGGCAAAGGTTGGTCAAAAGACGCAAAATTGATAGACCTTTAGTTTATCTAATTACAATTTAATTTATCTAATGCAACAACTTGAGACGTGGCTCTACCAACTCGACAGACCTAGAGGTGATGTCATGTGTACCGATCAACCAGAAACCAAGTTGGTTTCTACGAACACCCGTTTGTGGGAAAAGAACACACAACGAAATGAAGAACAATACAGATTGTAATTATACCAGCATAGCCTAGACCCCAAACAGTTTCAGCAGGATATTTTTGCATCAATTTTTTGAATTCCAATCATGGTAGAAGCATCTGTAACTATATTCCCACACAGACCCTGACAAAGCTTGAAGCAAACACATGGACCCGGACAAGGCCTGCAAAAAGCAGGACACACAAACCCGAAGAAGGCCCGGACAAAGCAGTGAAGAAAGGGCAAACGGCGCAGCCATGGCTATCGGGGTCAGCCCTTTTTTGGTAAGAGAGAACCCCAACAGTAAATTGCTTGAAGAATACAGTCCAAGAAAGGTCAGGTCTGAAGAAAAACCGTCACGGCGCGAAGACTTGGAAAGAATGCACCATGACCATAAAAGTGACTTGCAGGGCAATTCTATTCTAATAGCAATGGCCTCCAACCTATTAGCAATGGCCTCCAACCCAATACCGATGCCCTGCAACCTACTAGCAATGGCCTCCAACCCAATAGCGATGACCTCCAACCTACTAGCAATGGCCTCCACCCCAATAGCGATGGCCTCCAACCTACTAGCAATGCCTCCAACCTAATAGCGATGGCCTCCAACCTACTAGCAATGGCCTCCAACCTACTAGCAATGGCCTCCAACCCAATAGCGATGCTACTAGCAGTGGCCTCCAACCCAATAGCGACGGCCTCCAACCTACTAGCGATGGCCTCCAACCTACTAGCAATAACCTCCAACCCAATAGCGATGGCCTCCAACCTACTAGCAATGGCCTCCAACCCAATAGCGATGGCCTCCAACCTATTAGCAATATGGCCTCCAACCTACTAGCGATGGCCTCCAACCTACTAACAATGGCCTCCAACCCAATATCGATGGCCTCCAACCTACTAGCAATGACCTCCAACCTACTAGCAATGGCCTCCAACCTATTAGCAATATGGCCTCCAACCTACTAGCGATGGCCTCCAACCTACTAACAATGGCCTCCAACCCAATATCGATGGCCTCCAACCTACTAGCAGTGGCCTCCAACCTACTAGCAATGGCCTCCAACCCAAAAGCGATGGCGTCCAACCTACTAGCAATGGCATTTAACCTACTAGCAATGGCCTCCAACACAATAGCGATGGCCTCCAACCTACTAGCAATGGCCTCCAACCCAATAGCGACGGCCTCCAATCTACTAGCGATGGCCTCCAACCTACTAGCGATGGCCTCCAACCTACTAGCAATGGCCTCCAACCCAATAGCGACGGCCTCCAACCTACTAGCGATGGCCTCCAACCTACTAGCAATGGCCTCCAACCCAGATGTCGCATGTGTTTTGCTACACAGGCGGCCCAAGCGGTGCATGCGCGATATACGATACTTTGTGGTTGGGAGCCAGTGTGAAGCATGCCTTCGGCAATATTCTTTGCATGTCAACCTCAATGCTAAGAGGAAAGAGTCTTGCAGGGATTTCTAAAGACGTGGAGAGAAGGTTAGCATCCAAGCTGGAGTGAATAGTAGGGGTGGCTGGAAAATTGACTGAGTGGCACGATCCCTACTTACAGGCAAAGGGGCCTAAGCCAAACAGGGCAACGATCTCATTGGTTCACCCGAGCTCTTTGCTGCGTGGACCTCCGATCAAGCCTTGACGGGTAGGAGTGATGTCTTGGAGGCACTGAGGCAAGCGACTGGAAAGACGGTCTTGTTCCCTAAAGAAATCCTATTGTCCTTTGATTAATGGTTAGTAATCTGGACTGAACATGAGGAACTTCACCTTGATTTTCTTCAGAAGTTGGCATGTTTTGGTTCTTGACGCATCTATTTTGGAGCTGACAGGATCCTTGAAGGGAATTCCAAGTCAGCGACTAGAAACGACCGAGCATGCGATCTGTTTGCCAGAGAGGCTGATCAAATGGATTCCTTGTATAAACCACACGCTGCCGGACTTCGATGTCCACATCGCACACCTATTTTCATGCCACCGAAGATATGAAGACCTACAAAGTGTGCTGGAAGGATATGGCTTCAAGACCCTATCGATCGATATTATCTTCGATAAGGTCAAAGGAAACTTGCGACACGGAGTGAGACTTTCCGTTTTCGCCCGTGCACTATATGCTAGTAGGTACTATGGCTCAAGGGCGTGGCGGGCCCACCGTGTGAGACTTGGTCCAAGGTGGCTGTCGTAGAGGGTGGTACGCACCAGACAGCTGCCACGGCGCAAGGACCTCAACTATAAGGAGCACCAGCAGGTCCATGCGGAGCACGCTTCGTATTGGGAGTGGCAATCCACCTCACTGCGATTGCCATCTATGAGCATCCTGAGCAAGATGAAGCCAATGAGAAAGCCGCGTCTATTTGGAGACTACCTATTCTCAGGGTGTTGCAACGGTTCCCGAACCGTGTGACACATAGAATACTCCAAGGCCACTACGGGGGTAAAACCCCTAAACCTACGCGTCTTCTTTTTACACCAAACCACTCTAGAGATCATCGTGCGAGGGTGTTCCGCACTACCGAAGCGTACTGCGGTGGGTCGAAAGTACGGCTCTTGGGCCGAACTGAAAGAGGACGCCACTAGGAGCAAAGGGCATCGCTACTAGGAGCAAGAAGCTACTAGGGGCTCCTGGCCATACTACTAGTAACAAGAAGCTATAAACAAGTAAACAGAGTACCCTGGAGGCTGCCGAATGTTAGCCATCTTTGTTGGATCGCTCCAACAGACTGGAGTGCGACCCCTACCAGCAGAGTTCAAGGAGTTTGTTACCAATTTGGTTGCGAATTATGACTACAACGCTGAACAGGGTCAGGACTTCAATCCCCACAGCATGGAATTCATAGTTAGATGCATGGCGGCCACGGAAGAGAGACTTTCTTTGGCACTCGCAAAGGAAAAAGAAGGTTGGCTCTTCCTGTTGTGTTATCTTTCTTTATTCTACTTCTTTTCCTTTCGGAAGCGCCTCGCCCAAATTGATACCGGCGATTTCGAAGCGAATCACTTCACTCAAACGCTCGACATCGCTCAACGCTTGGCGATGCTCGGTGCGAGATGTTTTTTCTTGTTTTTCTTTCTACCTTTAGACCTTTTCTACTTGTCCCGGTGTCAGGAGCACTGGGGTTCCGAACGTGAAAACCCATAGTCTTCCAACCTTGACCAGAACAATGAATCATCAAAAACTTGCGAACTGTCTAAAAAGGACACTGGAAATGCAATAGCTCAAGAACAACCTGAGTCCATTGCATGTGGTCTTTGCAGCTGTGATAAGAGCCCTTCAAATTCCCCACCGCCAACCTTGCTGAAACGTGCGGGGTTTGCTGAGACAAAAAGAGACACAACTGAGGAGACACAACTGTTGAGACAGTTGAGACAGTTGAGGCAGTTGAGACACGAGCAGTCCAAAGATCAAGAAGAACAATGAACTGAACACCTGACATTTCAGACACGAAGCAGTCGTAAACGGAGTCGTGTTAAGAAAGGAGAAGGAAGGAAGGAAGTCGTGTTTGAAAAGATATATTATTTGTTTTAAAGTGGGTAGGGGTTAGGCCGTAGTAGCCAGTAGCTAGTAGGAAGAGGTAGTAGCTAGTCGCAGGAGCCCTTTCGCGCGCGCGATCGTGGGGGTAGGGTGTAGGCCGGATAGAGGTAGTAGTACCTCGCTTTTCTTGTACCTACAAGTAGCTACTACCGACTGGACGCAAGAGAGCTCGGCTAATGATTTGGTTCCTAGATTTTGGGGGACACTTAACTTAATTAGGGGCACTCTTGGCCTTCCTAGTCGTACAACATTGACATGTTCAGTTGACATCTCGGGTGTCCTGTGCTCATTAAGAGCCCCTAGTAGCGTCCTTGCTCCTAGTAGCGATGCCAGGAGCCCCTAGTAGCTTCTTGTTCCTAGTCGTAAGGCCAGGAGCCCCTAGTAGCATCCTTGCTCCTAGTTCTTTTGCAAATAAACAGCCAGTCGCACGAGGAGGTTTCGCAGCTCTGGAATGGCAGCTAGTATCGTTTTCACCACAACCTGCCGCAAGGGGTGCTCAACCCACTTCGAACACTCTCCAGTTACAAAGCGGTTTGACGTTTTGGTTCTCATTTTGTCCAGTCGTGTTTTGTTCATGTCTGGATCTCAATGATGGAGGCCATTGCTAGGTTGGAGGCCATTGCTATTAGATGTTCTCAATTTATGGCCATTTTGTTTTGAGTCGTCTTTGCGATGGATTGTTCTCCCCACATCTCCCCCACCTTCAGGTTCTTGCTGCGCGAAATGAGGCGGAGGGGCCTCAACATCCTGACCCGTGAAACGGCAAAACCGCAGTTGTCTTCGCTTGAATCCTCTTAAAGAAGAGCGCGTGAAAGTTAAAGGCTGTTTCTTTGCTTTCGTTTGCTTTCTTGGCGCCCTAAGCTTATCTTTAAGCGCATTCAAGCTTTGCCTCACAACTCGAAAGATCTTCATCACTGCAATTACCTCTCAAATGGTCAACTGAGAGAAGCAACCTAACTACCACTTGTCTTATGGCCTCCAACCTACTAGTGATACAATATAATACAATATAAAAGTAGCGTTACCACTGCAACAGTTTCTCTGGAATAACAGTTCACAAGGCAGAATGTCAGGTCGCGCACACCGCCGCTGCTGCCCACAAGAAGCCATGTCTGGATGCTATCCAGAACTGACCTGAAATTCAAATGTCGTCGTCCCGTCATCTTGCGCAGAACAAACACAGAAGTAACTGTGGCTTCGTGAAGAAGGTTGACGTTCAGAAGTGTAGGTCGTATTGCCATGAGCCTTGCCGTGGTTAAAGCTTTCGCAGGTTACTGCCCTTTGTTGTGCTAGAGCTCCTTTGTGACAGCTGGAAAGAGAAAGGCTTCTGAGAAGCGTAAGGCTCCCCGTTTCCCATATCATATTGTATTGTATCATATTATTGTATTACATCATTAGTAGGTTGGAAACCATTGCTAGTAGGTTGGAGGCCATCGCCATTAGGTTGGAGGCCATCGCTATTAGGTTGGAGGCCATCGCTCTTAGGTTGGAGGCCATCGCTAGATGCACCAGGTCTCAAGAGTATTTCGACTTATATAACTAAAATATCTGTGGGGCCACGCACAATCACAATCACGAAGTCCAGGACATTCTCAAAGCTTCGCAAGTATGCTTTGCGACCATCACCCTGAAGCACGTTGGAGTATACGATTGAAATCGGCCTAAGGAAAGGATTTGTTATGCTTTTGAGAGCACAATTTAATCAATTCGCCAGGAAGCATAATTGCAGAATGCTCCCAACGCAATCATTTTCACCACCACCTCTAGGAGGAAAATGACCTGAGATTATCACTGAGCCCTTTTTGAGCGGTGAAAAACACATCCAAAAAGATGTCAATCCCATCCCACAAGTGTCCAGCAGTGAAAACAGTGCTCAACACCTCCAAAACCTACGCAGTGAGATGCTTAAAAAACAGTTCGTTTAACCACAAACAAGAAGCTACTAGTAGCTAAGGGCATCGCTACTAGTAACAAGTGCATCGCTACTAGTAGCTTCTAGCTACTGTTGGACATGTTTTTAAAAGAATCCCAGCCTTGACTTGTGTACTATTGGGATCGTGCAAAGGATTCTCAAACTCAGACACGCATATGTAAAAAGACACATGGATGGATGAAATTCATCAAACTCAACGAGGCACAATGTACTTCAATGAAACTGAACTCCATGACATCGGTCACTCAACTCGACTCATTCGACATCGGTTTTATCTGCCTCGTCACTCACAGTTTGAGACTCAAACAGCCATGACCACCGATGAAAATCCAATGAAGACCTTAGCGCACAATTCACAGTGCCAAAAATGGCACGAGACATTCGAGAAACTATACTTTATAACAACATATATAACATAAGTGCAATGGCCTCCATCCTAGTAGCGATGGCCTCCAACCTAATATATATATAGTAAATATGTAGATAGTTAATATACATGTTCGGTTCAGAATGTCCGAGGAACCATGATGACGTGGTCGAAGGCCGGAATCCTCAAAAGCGAATACCGAGAAAAAAACAGAAAAGTGAAATTAAATTGAAAAATGTTGCAACAAGATTTGAAATTGAAATACACATTTTTTTGCTTGCTTTTTTGTTCATTCTTTCATTGAAGGTTGAGAAGCAAACGCCGTCAACGCGAGGCATGCTTTCCGGATTTCTCCATCCTAAATCGAACTGGCTGTGCTGGCGCTGTGTCTCGTTCAAATGACATGGTAATGTGTTCTTCGAGCCACTCTGGAGAAAAAAAAGCAAGATCTCTCACCACATCGTTTCGCACACCTGGCAAAGTACGCGTCAAAGTACCTTTTTGTTTTTGACGCAAAAGTCGACCATCTTTCCAAAATCAGCTGGGCAGGCGCTTCTTTGTTTTGATCCTGGCAGAAGAATGCACGAAAACATGGATCACGATTGCAAAAAAACAATGCCATTGGTCCAAACATGCCAGGTTCAACCCCCCAAAGTTCAAATCGTGAAATCCATGAAAACTTTTCGGTGAATCTCGTGGTGAATCGACTTCCGCCCTCAACGCTTCACATATTTCCGTTCCAACGTTTCCACGCTACTAGGAACAAGTGCATCGCTTCTAGTAACAAGTGCCTTACTAGCAGTAACAGGTGCCTTACTAGTAGTAACAATGTTTGCTATTAGAAACAAGTGCATCGCTACTAGTAACAAGTGCCTTACTAGTAGTAACAAGGACGCTACTAGGAACAAGTGCATCGCTACTAGTAACAAGTGCCTTACTAGTAGTAACAAGGACGCTACTAGGAACAAGTGCATCGCTTCTAGTAACAAGTGCCTTACTAGTAGTAACAGGTGCCTTACTAGTAGTAACAATGTTTGCTATTAGAAACAATGCATCGCTACTAGTAACAAGTGCCTTACTAGTAGTAACAAGGACGCTACTAGGAACAGGTGCATCGCTACTACTAACAAGTGCCTTACTAGT